CTTCCTGCGCAGGCGACACATCCACTTCCGTGGAATTCTTGTCTGGTTAGGTGATGGTTTCATTTAAAAACGATATCATTTGAAGGATTTTGGATGAAACCTGCCTTGTATACTTTCTACACAAGTTTCCCGGTCAAAGTCGACCCGACCCCTAGACAAATTCACACATGCTTTATGAAGCAATAACATTCTTAGTGGCTGATGGGCTACGGATGATATCTTTTGAATGAGTATCATTTTTTAACGAAACTTGCAAGTCTTGTTTTTTTCCCTTCATACAACAAGCTTGGCTTAATTCATAAACATTTTGGTGAGCATTAATGACGGTATTCATTGGTTGTCAAACCGAAGTGATACTACTGATTGTTGTCGGTGGCATTCAGATTGTAATGATATTTTTTACGTACAGAGACGACAAACCTAAATTGATGCATGCATGGGTTCTTTTTCAGAGTGTTTCGCGCTGGTGAAAAACCGAGAGGCCTTTGACAGTCGTAGTGAGATGCCACTTTATCATATGAGCTTCATTATACAGACTTTGGTGAGGGAGGAAAATATGTTGCCAGACCTAGGTGGTATAAAGGAAAGAGCCCAAAACCGTGGTCACGTATGTAGAAACTTTATCGGAAGCCGAGCCGAGAAACTTAAAGTATGTCTACAACACCTCAATGGGGACAATTCTATGGGCATAGATTGTTGTACAAAGGGATACCTGTCGTTATGCGAATATAGATCAGTAGTGATTAGAAACAATATATTGGCAGTACCCTCAGCAGAAGAGGCAAGAGATGTCGACTTTGTCATGATAGAAACTGAGCCAATTCGTCCTGGGTATTTACGGCTCCAAACCTTATGTCCACAGTCGCACAAGGGACAGACTTATTGGGTGAATGAAACCACAGCACTGCTGAAACACACACGGGCAAAACAAACAGAATACAAGGGTGACATCGTACACAAAGGAATAAAGAGTCGGGATTGGCCGGAAGCTGCAGCCGAATGGGTATCACGTGACCGCCCGAGTGGTTGGCCAGGGCAACACGTTATTGAATCTGCTGTAGAAGGAGGTTGCCTGGTCATATCAAGGTCTCATGCTCTGTCACACAAACGAGAGGTAGAATGGCAGCTCGTTTTCCCTCATGTTGAGACTGTTCTAGCGAAGGAAGCACTGACAGCCGCACAACGCTACTGTCTTTGTGTCTTCAAAATTCTAGTCGATTTCCACCTACGTCAAATCTCTATCAGACTGAGGACGACAACATTCAAAACAATTGTCTACTTTGCCTGTGAAGTGTTGCCAATTGATGTATGGGAACGTAACGCCAGTGGCTGCTTAATGTACCTATTGGACAAATTGTACTTCCATCTGTCAAAGAAATGGCTTCCAAATTACTTCATTAAATCCAACAACATGTACGACCATCTGTCCAACTTTGAGCCCCTTGCACAGGTGATAGATGACATAAGAACTTACCCAATTATGGCAACCTTTTTCCTAGCAGATCACCATGACTTGGTGCAGATATGGATGTTTGATGATATCATAGACGATATCAAGAGTTATAGGAACCACCGTGATGCACGCCGCAGCTTCCACAATGTGTTGCTGCCCAATCTACTGAAGCTAGCCCAAACCTATATGCTGAATGAATGGTACCCAACTGCTGGCACAGTCTTAAATGCTGCATATCAGGAGATTTTGGCTGTTGCAGAAGAACACGAAGACGTACCGACATTCCAAGATTTCTTGAAGAAAGTCCTAGCAACGGAGGATATTGATGACAGGAAATATATGTACCTTTACATGGACAGGCAATACGGCACCAAGCTTCGGAAAACAGAAGGTACAGCTGTACAAATGACTACGTTTAAGGACATAGAAGGGATTGGCGACCTGGAACAGTTTCGCGATGAACCAATACCTAAGTCCTGCATAGGAGACACAGTGCTTCAAATGCTATACATTTTACCGCTCGCAGAACGCCTTGAAAAGAAGAATAGATTTTCTGATGCCATTTGTCTACTACAGTCTATTATCAAGAAAGCAAGGCTGTTCAAAGAGGGGTTTATGGTCCCAGATATCATCGATGACCCCACTTTAGAACGAGAAATTATCAAACAAACCGAAATGCCACGAACTCTTGTAAATGTTTCCCTGATGGTCAGTTACGAGGTTCTGTTCAAATGCCTATCTTCACTTCATGAAGAAGATAAATTTAAGCAACACATTCAGGACTACGAAGATATTTGTTATGAGCTGGAACACTATGAAGCATTAAAAGAAGTGGCTGATATTTGGGAGAGCTTTGGAGACAATGAAAGGGCAAAGACACTGAGAGAGGAAGTCACACGATGCAAACATGAGAAGACAGAAAAGATCGCTAAAACTGTTGTATCAATTTTATCAGGTTCTGCTGGAACTGGTTTGAACGCCTTCCTACGCAATTCGATCCCGTAGGACTCCTGAAGGTACTGATCATCGAACGATGTTATCCAGTTCTCATTCCTTTAACGATTTATATACTATTTTTCCCCTATTCAAGATTTGTTTTACTAGAGCAAAAGTAAGGCAATGATCTTTGACATTCACGAATGTGCTTAATCTCAATGGTTTTAATATCCGGACGCAGTTGTTTCATGCGTCGTAGCTATATATATAGTTGAATGGGTCATTAACTCCATTTTCTAAATGTGACTGAGGAATAACTAATATTTTACTGGTTATATTATTATGACTCATACACATGTAGAATTGTGGTGTTTACATAAATTTGCAAACCTCGTCAGTTGGTGTTGTTTCTGAAATTATCACATCTTGAAAATAATTAGCGAAAGTTTAGTTAATTACATTATAATGATAATGCAGTTGCACAAAAACTTGCAAAATCATATGGAACCCATCAGCCAATCAGATCGCAGCAATTTCATGAAATATGCAGACTTTTCTGACCATAGAACTTAAGCAAGCGAAAGATAGAACGTATACCGAGCAACTTTTGTTTTGGTATTAATTTCTTCATAGAATAACACATTTAATTGTTGGTTATATGGAGGGCAGTTTCCTGAAACTACATTGTTATTATTCAGTAATTAAAATTTACATGACAAATCCTAAACCGGAAATCGTTATGATTCAAATGGCCATGTAAAAAATTTATATTTATTTTTTGGGGTAATTTTCTGCTGTAGGGATATTGATTAAGCTTCATATGAATGATAACAGTATAGTTCTGACAGTATTGGCACCATTGCCGCTGTATGAAACTTAAACTCCAGTTTTGCTGAAGTGATTTTCATTACATTTTATAGGAATCATAAAACCATAGTCTTGCAAAATTGTTCCTTGGGTCGGTCAGAAATTAAGGTTGCCGCTACGGCAGCCATCTTGAAAAAATCTTTTGAACTTAAACTGTCCAAGGGATCAAATGAAGCTTCATAGAAATGTTACGTTAATAGTCCTGACCACGTCTATGGGCGGCCGTTTTAGGATAAAATACATAAACTACTTAA